ACCATCAGCGCCTTCAAGACCAAGGGAAGGAAGCGTTTGAGTTGCTTGAAGAAGAAAGCCCAATGAAGAAGCCCAGGCCATCAGATGTTTCAAGTAAGAAAGCCAAGATCAATCTGGTGAAAGTTGTAGGCGAAGACCTTTATCATGTAGACGATGAGCTATCCCTCGTCGCAGAAGAAGTCGATGAAGAAGACTGGGAAGAAGAATGAGATGAGCCAGAAGAAGATGAAGTGAATGGACCTGAGTGCTTATGGCGTGATGGAGAACATGAACCAGTAGAAGATCCAGAAGAATGGGTGGACAGAGTAACGGGAAAAGACTCCAGAAGATGCAAATGCTAGAGAGACCAGAAGGTAGCCCAGAAGGAATCAGTTTCCTGACAACATGCAATGTGTATGACTGGAGCAAGAACCTTTACCACCATGAAGATGGAACAACAAGCAGGAGGTGGAAGAGAAGATCAAGACTAGTTGCAAGGCTTTCGCTGAAGGAAAGAGAGATTACATTTTCTCACCAGCGACTTCAGGACATGTACTGACGGTTCTATCCACAGTATTCTTGCAGAGAGTCAGCAAGGAGGAAGAAGCAAGAGAGGGGGAAGGAGCATTTTGCCAGATGCTGGGATGTTTTGATGTGAACTTGAGAGGAGAAGAATTCTCGGCAAAGAGAAATTTGCCTGGACAAGGAGTTGGAGCAAAAGCATGGCTTGACTTTTTTCGCAGAGCACTTCACCGAGGAATTCAATTGTGAGTTTCCTAGGAAGAAATGAGAAGAGTATCAGTTTGATTCATGTGGTTGACTTGATTTTCACAGCTTGTTCAAAGTACATCAATGCAATCCTTCTTCCAAAGGTCAAAGGCACTTTTGACACCAGTGTGAGCAAAATTGAGAAGATTGGTGATGAGTTCAACTTCTCTTTGGATCCAGCCAGGTAACTGCGTCCAGCAGAAGCTGAAAGCCTATGAAGAGCAGATTGGGAAGATCAAACTTCAGCAGTTACCATCAGACAACTCAATTCAGACGGAAGGTATATCAGAAGTCTTGCGTGAACAAGAGAAGATTAGCCTTTTCAGAAGCATTGTTGGCCCAGGTATCTACCCATGCCAAGAGAGGTATGATGTAGCGCCTACAGTGAAGGAATCGGCTTCAAGAATGTCAAATCCAACAGCTATGTCATTTCATCACTTGAAAAAGTTCCTAGGATACTTGAAGATGACTCTGGACTATTTAGTAGTTGAATTTCCACAAGCAGGAGAAGGCTATGTCAAGAAAGGAGAAAGCTATTGGCGCTTGACAACAGTCTCACTCAGATTCAGATTGGGGTGGAAACAAGAGCCGCAGAAAATCAACTTCAGGAGGACTCCATGCATTGAACAGTTGTCCATTGCTTATCTTCATGTGAAGCAGAGTTGCGCGCAATAGTTTCTTCAGCGTCAGATGGAATCTGCGTTCGCTCAGTTCTTGAGTTTGCTCTTGGGGCAAAGGTGGACCATTACATTTTCACTCATTCTTCAAGTGCGCGCCAACTTGATGAAGAGAGGAGTTGGACAAGTGAGACATTTGGATGGGAAGTTGCTTTGGGTTGATAGCAGGAAAGATTTCAAGATTGTACAAATACCAACAGACAGCAACATGGCAGACATCAACACCAAGCCACTTCAAGGACTAAGAACCAGATACTTGATAAACCTCATTGGGTATTGGCGCAGTGAAGAGCGGACAAGAGTATGAGAGCATGAGAGAAGGGTGCTTGAAGAGAAATAGTATTTTCAATAAATTGCCAAGATTATTGTGAGAATGGTAGCGTTGGAGGGCATGCAGCCAATGGTTACAGAAGCATTCATCAAAGAGAAAGGAAACATCCAGTGTGGAGTAGAAGGAGGAAAAGAATTCAATGAGAACTGGAATGTCCTGATCATTGTGACTCTTACAATTGTTATCATTGGTTTTGCAGCAGCGACCTTTGTACTATGGAAGCTCTACAGACACTTTGAGAATAGCTGCTGCACAGCTATGGAAAACACTCGTTTCAAAGCAGAAGAAACAGAATTCAGCTTCAAAAGACTTGAGAATATGCCAGAATCAATTGTATGGGTGGTTGGTTCTCAATGGAGACTTTGTGGAGAAACAAACACCAGATACTCACACTGTCATCAGTTATGATGTACTAGGTGAAATGAACGCAGGAAACCCCTTAGCCAGAAGGAGCTTGGAAGATACGAGAGCGACAGAAGGGCAATATCAAGGTTATCGAGTGATGTTGCAGGCAGCCATGGATGGAGCAACCCCATCAGAAGGACCATTGAACAAAATGTTCAGACCAGGAACTAGGGAACTATCAATTGGAGAGGAGTATGAGGTAGAGCAAGCAAGCTAAATGCGCGGTCGACTAGAAGCAAAGCTTGAGCAACCCCATGAAAGACAATGGGGTCTAATGGGAAGAGGGCTACAAGATGTAGCAGACCAAGTTAAAAAAGAACTGGAGAAGTACCAAGAGTTGCTAGAATGTGCAGTTATGAGAAGAGACAACCCAGATAGACCAGTACAAAGAATCTCAGAGTGAGTTTGAAGTAGCAATTCGATCGCTCACAAGAAGTAGTGCGAAACATTTTCTGTGTAAATCACAGCTAGTGTACATAGCATCATCAGCGTTGCAGTTTGTACAATAGACCATACAGGAGCCCTTTGGATTAAGGAAAAAGTTCGCAGTATATATACATATATATACATATACATACCCCTACCGGTACCTCCGTTTTGGTTGGATTTATTGTATTTTACAGTGTTTGGTGTTGACTTTCTATTTGCTCACCATTGGTGCCTTGTGGTTTTCTCCTATACCTTGTATACATACATTCAAAGCAGTTTTTGTATTTTGAATTTCTTGGGGCAACAACAGTACTAAAGTACAAAAACTGCAGGCCCCATGGCCTGACCTCAGCCACAGTGGACAAATAGGTCGGTGCAGTTTTAGTATTTTGGTATTGTGGTTTTGAAACCCAAGTACAAAAGTACAACAACTGCAGAGTTTACGACCTGGAAAACCAAAGTACCACAGTACCAAAACTGCAGACCCCGTGACCTGGCTTCAGCCACTCTGGGGACATAGGTCTGTGCAGTTTTAGTATTGGTATTTTGGCTTTAGAACAAACGTATGAACGTATCAAAATTGCAGACCCCATGACCTGACCTCAGCCATTTTGGGGACATAGGTCTGCGCAGTTTTGGTACTTTGGTTCTTTGGTTTTCCCTTGGCCAAACCTCAGCCAATCTGGGGGCATAGATCTGTGCAGTTTTGGTATTTTAGTATCTTTGCTTTGGAACCAAAGTGCAAAAACTGCAGACCCCATGACCTGACCTCAGCCACTCTGGGGGCATAGGTCTGTGCAGTTTTGGTGGTTCTTGGGTCTGCCTCCAAAACCAAAATACAAAAATACAATCAGTGCACTGAGCGCTTTGAGGACATAGGGCTGTGCAGTTTTAGCAACCCGCAATACCATAATACCAAAACTGCGGAAATGATTTTAGGGTTTAGGGTTTACAGAACAGTTTGTTGAACGAAATGCATTGTTTTTGAACACTAAAAAGAGTCCTAAAAGACATATGTTCGTGTTCAATTATGAGCGTCCTATTTTTGTAATTGTTTGTGTTTTTACAAAAGGAAATTTAGCCATAACTTGTTCTTTAAGTAAACGGCAGTTGTTAACCCGTAATTTAAACGGCAGTTGTTTGTTTTGTTATTTATTCCGTTCAAATAGTATCTTAACAAAATATGTTTTAGTGACTTTAGTATGTTCTCAAATAGACTTTGTATACTTTCAGCTCAGTTTTAGTTAAATGTTCTGCTTGTGTTTGTATATCTAAATCGCTTTCAGTTCATTTGCATAGACTTTAAAATTTGATGTTTTACTAAATGGAATTTGGTGCGTTGGTGAAATTTATTGGAGCTTGCTTTTATATTTACTTTATTTTTTGACCATCATTTTTCATTTACAACTTCAACATATTTTGATTGATCTATTTTGGAAAACTTTGCGTTTTAACACAGAACACAAATAATCTATATGCTTAACTTGCTCTCAAAAAGTAAATTCGGACTTGGCCATAAATCTCATCTATGTTTGTTTTTACTTTACTTTTAGTTTGGATTCAATAATTTTTTCTTTTTACATTGATGTTTCACTATATAACTGCAACTTGCTTGAATGTTGAAATCTATTTTCAGTTTGTTTGAACCAGTCTTAGTAAAGTTTCATCCAATGTTACTCAGATATATGTGCCATTTCACATCCACAAAGATCTTTGATCTTTCATGGAAGGCATCCTCTATCTGTGATGAGGGGCTCTTAATGGGCAGTTCTATTTTCACAGAGATCTAGAAGATTTAGCTTTTGAGATGAACGCCTTTGTATAGGGCCTTAAAAATTCCCTAGAGACGCAGAGGGCAACTTTGGAAATTTAAGCTTCTATACATATCATTTTCTATAAAAAAATCATATAGAAGTGATCGTTCCCACAGATCAATAATAGCTTTTGGAATGGACACATTCGAATAAAGCTTCTTAATATAGAAGCGATCATTCCCAGAGGGTCCCAGACATCCAGAAAGAAACCCTTTGCAATGCAAGGTTTTATAGCTCTTGAGCAGAGAAGTGGCCATTCCCAAGGACCCAGAAGAAAGCTTTTGGAGTGGCAACTTTTAGATAAGTTTTTGATATATATATATATGCATATCGAAGTGATCTCTGGTCCACATCTGACAGAATCACCCAAAAGGTAGGTACAGGGGGGGGCGAGCGCATATGCATATTTACACACACATATAGATACAAATATTTTTTAGCACGGGAACATATGCGCAGATTCTCTTCTCTTCGCTGTTGGAGTTCCTAGGAGTGTGCTGGGGTTGAACAGCTAATATGTATTCCCCTGGCAGTTGCCATTGGGGTGTCATTGAATGTAATTTCTCACGACCTCGATTTGATCCAACCAGTCTCAAGGAGCAGCGCGTCGCAGATAGGCAGCACCAAGCGCCGCGGAGGAAGGTTGCAGCTGCCACGTGAGTTCCTTTGCCAGCTTCGCGCGATGGTTGATGTGCGTCAGACGTGGACCGTTTCATGACATACCTTGCTCAAGGCTCAAGGTTCACAGGAGAAACAGGGCGTTTGTGTGCGCCAAGGTAGGCGTTGGGGCTCAAATAATCAGAGGCCCATGGTAGAAACCGAGCGCCCCAGAAGTGGGGCGATATGAGCCAAGCAAACTCCTCAGCAATGGATGCAGAGGCTGAGGTGAAGAAATTACACCACCGTAGACCCCAAACAGTTTGTGTTTTTCAACATCGAAACTAGAGCTTGCGACGTCCAGAGCTGGGAGACAAAGGACTGGAAGGCAGAGGCGGCCACAGCAACCCAGAGCTGGGAGACGAGTGTAGAGGATTGCAAGGCAAAGACGGACACAGCAGTACAGAGCGGGCGGACACATCTTAAGAAAGAATTGAGAAGCCCTGACAGTAAACCTCTTGGGGAATTATTCTTCAAGTGCGAACATGATGCTGGTCATGCTGCTCAATCAGCAAGGAGCTGACCGCGTGAGGACAAGAAATAGAAGCATGAGGAGCGAAGGATGTGACATGAAATTGATGTTTGGTGCCTGACGCATGCCCTGAGACTGTCACAAAATCCAATCCGGTCATTCATGGAACGCTTGCCCGAAAGCGAAAACAAAGCTGAGAGAGTTACACAGTGTGGCAGGAATGCACTCCCGGAGACAGTCCGGCAGAAAACAGCAGCGCAGGCACCAGGCAAAAAGACAGAAGTCGCACGGGAGACAAATGCATAGAAATGCTACATGGCCAGCGGAAAAGGGCGGCAGCACCAGTGTAGAAAGCTGCATGGCCAGCGGAAAGGGTGGACACCAGCAGTGACAGACCTGGAAAACAAATGAATAGAATGTTGCATCGCCAGCGGAAAAGGGCGGACACCCAACAGTGACAGACCTGGGAGACTGATGCATGGCCGACGGAAAAGGGCGGACACAGCAGTGACAGACCTGGGAGACAAATGAATAGAAATGCTGCATTGCCTGCGGAAAAGGGCGGACACCAGCAGTGAAACACCTGGGAGACAAATGAATAGAAATGCTACCTGGCCAACAGGGCGGACACCAGCAGTAACGGACCTGGGAAACAGATGAATAGACATGTTTCATGGCCAACGGACAAGGGCGGACACCACCACTAACAGACCTGAAAGACAAATGAATAGAAATGCTACATGGCACCAGCAGTGATGGACCTGGGAGACAAATGAATAGAAATGCTTCATGGCCAATAGACACCAATGACAGACCTGGGAGACAAAAGAATAGAAGTGCTACATGGCCAGCGGAAAAGGGCGGACACCACCAGTGACAGGCTGGGAGACACATGAATCAATCAGCGGGGAGCTGACCACGTGAGGACAAGAAATAAAAGCATGGGGAGCGAAGGATGCGACATGAAATTGATTTTTGGCGCGTGACGTACGCCCTCCGTCCCAACTGAACAGAGAGATCGCTGCCACGCCGCCGAAAATCAATCCGGTCTTTCATCCAACGCTTGCCCGAAAAGGAAAACAAAGCGGAGAGAGTTACACAGTGTGGCAGGAATGCAATCCCGGAGACAGTCACGCACCCCTTTCAAAGGAGCAAGAACCTTTCACAGGTGAACCTGTTCCAGCGGACAGGGCAGAAAACAGCAGCGCAGGCACCAAACCTGAAAGGCAAAAAGAAAGAAATCACATGGGAGACAAATAATAGAAATGCTACATGGCCAGCGGAAAAGGGCGGCAGCACCAGCGACAGACCCGGGAAACAAATGAACAGAAATGCTGCATGGCCAGCGGAACAAATGAATAGAAATGCTTCATGGCCAACGGACAAGGGCGGACATCACCAGTGTGAATAGAAATGCTACATGGCCAGCGCCCAAGGGCGGACACCAGCAGTGACAGATGTGGCAGACAAATGAATAGAAATGCTACATGGCCAGCAAAAAAGGGCGGACACCACCAGTGACAGGCCTGGGAGACAAATGAATAGAAATGCTGCATGGCCATCGGAAAAGGGCGGACACCAGCAGTGACAGACCTGGGAAACAAATGAATAGACATGTTGCATCGCCAGCGGAAAAGGGCGGACACCGCAGACTGGGAGACAAATTAATAGAAATGTTGCATGGCCAACGGAAAAGGGCGGACACCACCAATGACAGACCTGGAAGACAAATGAATAGAAATGCTACATGGCCAGCGGAAAAGGGCGGACAGCAGCGGTAACAGACCTGGGAGACAAACGAATAGAAATGCTACATGGCCGGCGAAAAGGGCGGACGCCAGCAGTGACAGACCTGGGAGACAAATGCATAGAAATGCTACACGACCAGCGAAAAAGGGCGGACACCACCAGTGACAGATTTGGGGGACAAACGACTAGAAATGCTGCATGGTCACCGGAAAAGGGCGGACACCAGCAGTGACAGACCTGGGAGACAAATGAATAGAAATGCTCGGACACCAGCAGTGACACAAAGGGCGGACACATCTTAAGAAAGAATTGAGAACCCCTAACAGTAAACTGGTTGGCGAAAAAGTGGGGGACAAATGCAAGGAAGTGGGAGGCAAGCCGGCCGGAAACCCGACTACAAGCACCCAGCCTGGGAGACAAATGAAAAGAAGTGGGAGACAAATGAAGGGAGACAAATGAAAGGAAGTGGGAGACAAGCCAGCCGGGAACCGGACCAGAAGCACCCAGCCTGAAAAGAAGTGGGAGACAAATGAAAGGAAGCCGGCCGGGAACCCGACCACAAAGGAAGTGGGAGACAAGCCAGCCGGGAACCCGACCACAAGCACCCAGCCTGGGAGACAAATGAAAAGAAGTGGGAGACAAATGAAAGGAAGTGGGAGACAAGCCGGCCGGGAACCCGACCACAAGCACCTACCCTGGGAGACAATGAAAAGAAGTGGGAGACAAATGAAAAGAAGTGGGAGACAAATGAAAGGAAGTGGGAGACAAGCCAGCCGGGAACCCGACCACAAGCACCCAGCCTGAGAGACAAATGAAAAGAACTGGAGACAATTGAAAAGAAGTGGGAGACAAATGAAAAGAAGTGGGAAACAAATGAAAGGAAGTCGGAGACAAGCCAGCACCCAGCCTGGGAAACAAATGAAAAGAACTGGGAGACAAATGAGGAAGTGGGAGACAAGCCGGCCGGGAACCCGACCAGACCATCCAGCACCAAGGCGACCATTCTTTAAAGCATTGAGAACCCCTAACAGTAAACTGTTTGGGGAATAAAAGGAAAGAAGATACCACCCCATCATCAATGAGCCGACAACCCAAAACCAAGAGAAACGACGAAGAAAATGAAGCAGAGAAGAAAGACAGACGCAGAGAGAGCTTTTCCCAGCGCAGCCCACGCAACCCAGCTCCTACAAAACCTACACCAAAGAACACCAAAAAGGGAAAGAACCACGATGGAAGCAGCAGCAAGCCTCTGTAGAGGAGCGCGCGCTACAAGCACAGACGCCGCAGACCGCCAAGAAGCCAGCGACTACATCTAAAGAAGCCACAGGCAGACCTGAACAGGCAGCTTTGCAGAGCAGATCACAGTAGCGCAGCAGATACTCACCAAAATGCAACAATCCATGGAAAGCGCAGAGCTGCCACCATACGTCTAGGACATACAACAACAAATCATCGACCTACAAGAAAACTTACAACATCTTGAGAAACAAGCAGAGACGCTCACCACAGACATCAGGGATGTCGACGTCCTAGCCCAGCATGTCCACGACACGCTCTACTCCCACCAACAGAGAGAAGTTGCCAACCAAACAGTGGCAAAAGGCTGGCCACAGGAACTCACGGAGGCAGAGCGGGACAGTGTCCTGTAGTGGTACATGCACAAGGCGGGGGTTGAAGGACAGTGCGCAATACAACTTCGGACGATACCGCAGATCACCAATTTCCATCCTCCACTGGAACACCAAGCCAAACATACCTTTGAAGCATACATCTACAAGCACTACAACAAGCGCCGCCCAGCAACAACCTGGGACTCCAACAACAAAACAGCCTACTTTGGCAAGTAGCCGCGAAGAATCACCTTTACGCCGCAAACCAGTGACATGGAAAGAGAAATCAATCTTGCAGTTCAGGCTGCTTTGCGCATCGTGACAAAAAGTGAGGCAAGCAACCTTGCGAACACATGGAACAAAATCACAGTGATGTGGCAAGACAAAGTAGCTGTGAGAACAGATGACAACGCTGCGAGACAAGAGACCTCTACCTCCACATTCACAAAGAGTACTTCGACGTCATCAACGACTATTGGACAAAAGGCTGGGAGGAAGCAAACAGCAGAACCAAACGCCCCAGATACAAGTACTGTTCGCGGTCCTCGCTTGTGGTCTATGGTGACAATTTTTCGAGCCCTGCCGCTGCGCAGAAAGAAGGTGTTGGCAAGATCAAACATCTTTCAGGGAGGCTTCTTTGGCGCAGGAGAGGCAGGGAAGAGATTTAAGGAGCATTGATGCGATGACGAAACCTACGGATCTTGGCGCAAAGGTCCTCTCAGGTACAAAAATGAGGGTGTTCTTCATCGGTTTGACGAGGGTGAAGAATTTGGGAAAGGAGAATTTGAGACTGAGAAAGCAAAACAGGAAGCAACTCAACCACTGCAAACCAACTGGCAAAGAAACTTGACAGATTGACGCTCAGTGCGTTGCTGGAAAATGTCGCCTTGGGCCACGCCGCGCAACGAAATTCGCTTGGGGCAAACCATCACGGTCCCATGCGTGATCGTCTTGTTCATGGTGATTGGAGTTGGATTGAAAGATGGATGAGCAGTTGGTGATTCCAGAACTAAGCAGAGAAGGAGCAAGGGAAGGCGGCAAGATCCAAGCAGTCCACCAAGGAGGTCGGTGCCAATGACTGGTATGAAGACATGCCAGTAGAGAATGGCCCAAACGAATGGGATGCGAGTCGAGGTTGGTTTGTGAGGGGGCGGTTAGCATGGGCAGGTGACCCAGGATAGCCGTTCAATCAGGTGGTGACCTCGCTACCACCAGGGCTTCGAGAAAAAGAGGAAGAGGAGGAAGAAGAAGGAGATCTGTGAGGATTGCGCGAAGTTGGACAGCTCCATTTCCACATTCGAACGGTGAGGTTGGAAAGAGAAGAAAATGATGTGGAACCCGAGGCTCCAGAGTTCGGGAGACACCAGCCTGTGTATGGACCGGATGATTCGAACTCGTTGCAGAGGTAGAGGCCTTCAAGTCTATCTGCTCGAAAAGGGCAAACAGTTCAGAGAGATGAAGAGACGAGATCAAACAGACGACGCACTTCAAGATGGTGTTGACGGTTTGATGAAGCGTTTCATCGATGTGCAGAGAGGTGGACCAACAGCAAGGAAGAGGATCATCAACTACATCTGGTGAAAGAAGGGCGTGAAGACCAGAGTGGCCCGAAGTGAAGATGGCCAGATGGATGACTTATGGCGCCATGGGGGCGCTGGGAATGACAAGGTCGAATTGAAGGGCCCCACGCATGAAGACAAGCAGAAATAGCTGTAACTGTAGCAGGCCCAACTGAAGAAGACTACGAAGTAGAGAACGAGATTGAAGGCAGCAAAGAAAAAAAGGGGGAAAAGGAAAGAACGAGTCAAAACTTGAAGCAAAAAGGAAAGAGAACGACGAAGTAAAGCGGCCGGGCCTTACAACACCAAAGGCCATGGTAAGGCGAAAGGAAAGAAGAGAGAGAGAGAGAGAGCGCGCAGCTAGAAGTTAGAAGATGAAAGCTGGATGCAGTGGCATTTTGGCCACGGGAACTCACGAATGGATTGAAGCCAAGTAGACCCACGATATCGAAGCGGTTTCCCCATAAGTGGTGATCTTGGAGACACGCATTTCAGCATTTCTGTCGAAAAGGCAGGGTGTCAGACATGGACCGTTTCATGACGTGCCTTGCCCAAGGCTCGAGGTTGTGTGCGCCAGTGGATGTTTTCAATTTAGATGTGCTATCAGAACTTGAGACTTGAGGGCACTGAAGGGCCTCATGTGTGGGCGGCTTGATTGGCCCCCGCCGGCACGGTGTACTTGCATGGCTGACATGGCAAGCATATTGTAACTCGATCGGCGCTTCCTGCTACAGCCAGGAGACCAACTTCCTCATCAGGCAGCTCCTCCAGTTCATCGTCTTCATCTACGAAGCGACCTCAAAAAGAAATAAGGGAGAGTAAAACTTTGTAACAATAGAAAACCGCTGCCTTTCTCCAAGCAGTGTGGTCACACTAAAGGTTCGCGCCAGCAACGCAGATGTGAATGGCAGTCACACTGCCGCTGGAATTGACCTGCTTTTGCATGTCTTGTGCCTCGCGTCGAGGTTCGCGCGGTGGTGCCATTGCCCTGCACGCCCGCATAACCCCAACGCATGTGCAGCTCCTTCGGAAACTCATGCACCACACAAGGAACAAAGCGCTTTACATGTACTTGCCCGCCGCGACTATTTGTTGCCGCTGCCAGCTGCCGGCAAGACTATGTTTTGGGTTAACCTGTGTCGGTTCCGTATCATCCGGGGGCCCCTCATCCCAACACTTGTCGTCTGCGGTGCAAATCAGGTTGCGCACTTGCACCCAACCAGCGAAAGTGCCAACGACGCCACACCGGTGGTGGACAATTGGGGCCGTGCTGTGCAGAATCGCCTTCGAATCGCCTTCGCAACGGGCGCAATCTCGCCGACCTGTCGTGAAGGCAGCCCAGGTCAACTGGCGCACTTTGGTCGGCTTGGGTTGTTGCCCTGAGTTTCCCTGTGTGCTTCAGGAGTTGGGAGGTTCAGCTGACATGCTGTGGTCGGCCGGCTCTTGCGCGGGTTTCCCCGGTGTTTGCTTGGTCGGGAGTTGGGAGGTTCTGTTGACGTGCCGTGGTGGGATTCGGCCTTTGCTCAATATTTCAGTAGAAAAATTGTCTGTTCCAACCATACGAACGAAAAATCGTTCAAGGCATTGGATGCTCTTGCGTGTGGGCTGACCGAACACAACAATGGCCACTCAAAGAACCTGAATGGCTGGCCAGCCCCTGCGCGGCTGCGCGGGGAGATTGTAAGTATCGCCATTGGGTTTTGTTCCGAACTTGTTGCAGACATTTCCTACACTGAGGCCCGAAGTGGTGAGAATGCCTCAAACACCTGGGCCTAGCAGGTGAACACACATGCTGCATGTCTTGACGCAAGCAAAGACCTTGACCAGCAGCCATTGAATCGGCCAGGAGAGCTTTGAAGCAGCGGCGCATTACCTTCTTTTTGAGATAAGACCCGCTCGTATGTGGTCTTTTTCGAAGTGTTGCGCGACTTGTGTGTAAAACATCCTCTACGGCTAGCTGCCTGTGACAATTCGATCGAGTTGAATCGAGTCGCTAAGTTTTTCGAGGATTGTGTTGCAACACTTCCTGCCTACGCCCTGATCCGAAGAGACAAACCCACAGAAGTTGCTTCCAGTGTTTTGCTTCTTATCGACGTCAGCCTGTGTGGTTGATGCACGAGCCTTGGGGTCATGGCAGGCATAATTCGATCTTGTGGGGACGGACAGCCTTTGGGCAACATGTACAGAGCTAAGCTGAACTATATATTGTTTTTGTAGTTCACAACTTTCGGCTGGATGGGGTCAGCCAAAAGTTTCGATTGCTTGTGGTCCACAATGCAGGGACTTTTTCAGAAACGCGTGTGTAGGCATGTGCAGTTGAGTCGTTACGAACAGCATAGGTGCTCATTTTGGCATGCCTTTCTTATTTGAGCCCGCAGCAAGACCTGTTTTTGTGGCAAAAGAATCGACACAAATTGGGTGGACATGCACATCATGACTATGGTAGTCGTGAATTGACATTATTTATTTATTGTTTTTTTTTTTCTCTCTCTCTCTCTCTACACATATAGAGAACAAAGGTATAAGGAGTGGAGCAGTGGCCATGTATGGGCAGCCTGCGCAGCGAGCGCAAAGCCAGGCTTTGATCTCCTAGCCCTTACTGTTTCGCTGCTCTTTCAGCATTTGAATTGATACGAATTGATCCTCTGACTAACATTTTGCCTGCCTCCCATATACGGTAAAATCCTCAATTTTGAGTGATCCACGATCTTTCAAGGGTTTTTGTTGGCAGATGCCAGACCATCTGAGCCTGACATTTGCGGTAACAGCCTCCAGGCGTTGGCTGGGATATTCTACGGCTTGGCCCAGCAAGGCATGAAACGAGCCAGAAGATCTTGAATGTGTTTAGATACAGTGATAGACAGTGGTGACAGACCCAACGAGGTTTCGTCTGTCAGTGGTCATGACGCCATCGCAACACGGTCGTTTTCTCCATAGCTGAAAGGGGGGCTCGTACCGGTATGTAGCGGATATTCACATATCCTCATGAACTTCTACTGACACAAATCGATGCATGCTTTTCACACATCCCTTTTTGATTTGTGTCATCTTCGGATCTTTGACTTGTTCATTCGAAAACACGAACCAAAACACACGCAAACCACCAACAACCACAAAACAAACTCCAATAATCCTCCTTTCTTGGCCTTTCCAATCCATTGGAGGACTGTGGGATCCTCCTTCAGCTTCATCTTTCCATACATCATCACTTTCCTCAGGAGGTCCATTTTTGCTCCAAGCTTCGTCAACCCGTCGACCAGCATGTGATCTGTTGGCAGCTATCGAATGGAAACTCCATCACGAGATATATTTTGTTTCACCAACAGCATTTCGATTGCCAGTCTCTTGTCATTGATTGTCATCAGCTGTCCGTTCAGGTGGTCAAACACAGGGCGAGAATCCACACTAATGGTGATGGGAATCCTCGAAGTCCATATCTGGTCTTCTTCCATCTTGTAGTTGCCATACATCGCCTCTGTCCAAAGAGACCTGACCCATTTGGTCTCTGCAATGGTTCTTGACAGTGTTAGGAGCTCAGCTCCTAGTGTTGATGCTACTTGCCTATCTTGCTTGTAGCTTCGCCATCTCAAAGGGGTCAAGTTTGACCAGTCATCCAGCCGTAGGCCTGGTTCGACAGCACAAATCATATATCCGCCCTGGCTCTTCCAAGCTTCAGCGTTTGCGAAGCTGGCATCCGACCATGATGCAAACTCAATCGTTCGAGGATCGAGTGGCTTCACCACAATTTCCATTCCTGAATGGTCTCGAGCCATAGCAACTAACCGGTTCACCTCTATCAAATCTTGCACAACTGACTTTGAAATCTTCTGTTGAAGAAGTGAACATCCTGCAGCAAGGTCTGGTCTAGACCCTGTGACTAGCCACTGAATCTCACCTAAAACTCCTCTCACTTGCGTTTTCTCAGCTGCCGTCGTTTCACTATCTTTTTCTTTTCTTCTTTCTTTCGTGATGTGTATGCTTTCCAAAGTGTCAGCATATTCTTTCTGTTGCACAACAATGCTGTGGTCATCACGTTGTTTCAAGAATTTTCCCAAAAATTCTCCTTCTCCTTTCTTCACATGTTTAAAAGGGTATTTCTGCTTCAGTTAGTGAATTCATTCTTGAAAAACTCTTCTGTTCCACCTATGAGCAGGTCGTCCACATGAAAAGCTACAATGCCTTGCAATGCTCCACTTTGCGTCCTGCTGTAGAAGATGCAACTGTCCAAGCCTGATTGGATCATGCCTAGCTGCTTCAATGTCTTGGTCAATGAATCCCACCACAACTTCGGAGCGTCCACCAACCCGTACACAGGTTTGATCAACTCGCAAATGGATGTCGCTGGCAAACCTGGAACTATCTCGTGGCAGGCTAACAAGAATTTTTCCTTTTTCTCTTTTTATGGTATCTCCTCGTAGGAATGCGCCTTCAATGTCTGCAATCACCATTTCCCAATGATGACTCGCCACGATCTGCAATGTCACTGCAAATCCTTCATTGCTCAATGTCGGTGAAGCTGTTTTGACATCCAACACGTCAGGATCAAGGTATCCTTTGATGCACCACCTTGCTTTGAGCACGCCTTCATTGGTTCCATCGTCTGAGGTGTACACAAAGCGTGACTGCAGCACTCTGTCGGATCCTACTTCATCAACAATTTTAGATGCTTCTCCTCCATGGTGAACTATCATAGCACCTGAGTTGATGAGCTTGTTCCATTCCTTACTTCTAGCATTGTCCAATTCCCTTCTTTTGTCTGGGGACAGGTTCTTGGCGTTCAACTCACGGTGTTTCACTTTCCTAGCTTTCCCTTCATTTTCTTGCTCAGTCACAAATGCACACAAGTGCATCCCTTTTTGATGTTCAACATTCAAAACTTCGTCCATGTTTCTTCGTCTCATTGGGGCTCCAAAGTCCAAGTTGTTCAGGCTGCTTCGCATTGCCTGTGTGAGTGAAGACGTTCGGACGGGTCCATACGTGGTGTTCTCAATGTCCCCATTGTGACGGGTCAACCTGCATACCTGCCTCTTCATGTGCCTGTGTGTCATGATTATCATTAGCACTAGGTTCACTATGTGGCTCACCGTTCACAGACATGACCTCTCCGTTAGACCTCTGACTAGACGTGACATGTCCTACTTCAGCATTACTTTCACTCTCATCTTGCACCACTCTTGCCTGATCGCTCGTCTCTGCTGGCTCAACTGGTTGATTGTCACCTTCTTGTCCTTCTTCTTGTTCATGTCTCATTTCAATATCTTCTTGGCTTCCTTGCGGTCCTTGGTCCTCACTGACCTCCCGCTCAGCCATCTCTCTCACTTCTCTTTGATCAGCTGGTGGTAGCCGATCCTTGTCCAACTCAACCACGTTTCCGGCTCCTCGTTCTCTAATGGTGCTTCTCCACGATCTCAGTGTGATAGGCAACCACGAAGCCAACTCAACAATTTCATTGTCGACATGTTTCACTTGTTCGGGTGCACACCTATACACCTTGGCTCCATACATGACCCAAACTTTATCACTTTGAGCTCCAATCACTCGTCCAGGTCCATGCCAATGGTGTTTCTTTTCATTTGGTGCACGTCGCCAGATCAACACTTGATCACCAACAACAAATGGTCCCCTATTGAGCCTGGTTCGATGGCGAACTGCTCTCCGGAGTCTGTCTTCACTATCAGCATCAAGAAAAGCTTTTCTTGCTGCAAGTCTTATTTTCTGAGACCTGACATGTCTTTCTTCATTCTCCTGAAGTGCAGAATCCAACGTTTCATTTCCTTCTCCGACCATGCCAAGCAGTGGAATTCTGACATCAGTTCCCAGCACATGTTGCTGAGGTGAATACCCATCATGACGAGTGAGGGTATTGTGTGCTAGGTTCAACTGGTCACACAACTCTTCTGTTTCCTCCTTTGTCTGAGGATCCAGTTCCATCAAGGCCTTCTGAAAGGCTATCTTCCAAGCACCTCTCAAACGCTCGCACACTCCATTCTGCCATGGAGCATATGCAGCTGTCACTGAGTGCTCTGTCCCGTCATTGGAGAGATGATCAGTCCAACACGCACCAAACTCAGGTCCACCATCGCTGATCAATGTCTTGGGTGCGCCAGCCCATCTTTTCCAATACCTGCGATATGCTTTTCTTACATGCTTTATTTCAATTCCTTTCCACAACGGCACGCACAACTGGTATCTGGTTGCAATGTCCACAATGTTCAACAGTTTCAACTTACGACGAGGCAACTCAACTTCAAAGGTGTCAACACAAAGCAATTCATTGAACTGCAAGTCCCTGACTGCTTTCGACACGTTGTGACTTTGTTCACCTTGAAGATGCCGACATGTTGAACAGTTCAACCCTTTTGCAAGCCGGATACAAGTGTCGTTCGCTCGAGCTGCTTTCAACATTGCGATGAACCTTGGTGTTGATGGATGTCCCAAGTTCTCATGACACCGTCTCAACAATGCAATGATCTTCTGCTCGTCCTTCGTATCAAATGCTTCAATGGTCAACACACAATGTACTGCGTGTCCTTGCTGTCGTTCTTGAATATCGTCCAACAGTCCACGAAGGATCTCACGACAGAACTTCTGTGGATACTCTTGCGCAAGTTTTGACCTAGGTTTCCAACCTTCCTGAGTCTTCACAGAGCCTAAGATGTGTTGGTGAACATGTGTGTTATCACACAACACGGCCATACGCTGTGCAATGTGTTCACTGTTTACCATCAAGCGTGTCCGTTTCCTATGAGGTCTTCCATTTTCCCGGTCAGTCAGTCCAAACATGCACTGGTCCACAATGATCTGTCTCACGTTTGTTTGCGTTTCAACTCCCTTCACAGCAGGATCATTCCATGACTTTGCACTATGAGGTTGCTCAAGAACAAACAAATCTCCTCTTGCAATCTGGTCCAAGGCCAACTGCATGCTGAATCTCAAAAAGATCTTTCCTTCTTTAACCCTCTCTAGCCAACGTTTCATGTCAACATGTTTTTTCAACCCTTGCAAACTAGCGACCGTCTCACATGGGGGTGAAAGCAGCAAAAGACGT